GAATTATACTCGGTGCATGAATACACATAATACATAAGTAGTAAAAATATATCTTACCTAATGATTCAGCCATTTCGCACTCACGAAAAGTAATAAAAACAAAAACAACAATAAATAACAATAACGAAAATAACAAAATAACCAGTAACAATAACAATATCGAACAGAACAAAACAATCGCACGTGGTACTGTTTAAGCCTGGCATCCAAACTCAAATGGTAGATTCAGCGCCGCGTTCGTCTACGTCACACTTGGCTTGGCGCTACTATCCATGTTGCCAACTTGACGAGATGTATAGCCAAAATAAGCCTACAAATCTTGAAAATCACTGCATACCCCCACCAAGTATTGGTCCCCACCATGGTCGCGTCGTCCCCACTTTTCGGCCGAGGGAAAAAATATGAGCGCGCTGGGATACACTTTTCTGGTAGCCCTGCTGAAGCTGCTGAAGTGCTGACGCTGACCGCTGACCACCCACTAACGTGCACTAATGTGGCTATCACGACTGTATCGACAACGACGTCAATTCGATCAATGCTGACGGATCTGAATAATTGTGCATTAATATGCAGTGTTTTTTTTTATTACACACGGTGAATTGTCAATGTACGAAACGTTGTTGCCGAACGAAGTGAAATTACATGTGCCTACTGTGACTGGTACGAAAACCAATTGTTCGCAAACTAAAAGAAGTACATACGCGTATGCGTGCATACGTTCATACGTACGTACGCGGCGTTGTGTGGATCGTACTTATTGTTATTATTGTTGTTGTTGTTGTTGTTGTTGTTATTATTGTCGTTGGAACGATCGAATGAAGAGTGATAATCAATTTATGTAGAGTGTGAATCGTCGTCGGCGGGTTGTTAGTTGACGATTTAATAATGGTGATTTATGGTGTTTATATCGTATCGAAATCGGGTGGACTGATTTTTAATCACGATCACAACGTCCCACGCATCGAGAACGAAAAGACGTTCAACTTTCCATTGGACGTAAAATTGAGTTACGAGAACAAAAAGATTGTGGTGTCGTTCGGCCAGAAAGATGGAATCAATGGTAGGTGGTGCAAGCATGTGTTGTTACGTGTGTGACAATTGTAAATCATGAGAAACGAGAGAAAAAGTAGCCGTTATTATTTCATGATTCGTATCGGCATCTGTTTGTTGCAGTGGGTCACGTGTTGACTACGGTGAACGGCGTGAACGTGGTAGGACGAGAATTGGAAAACGGAAGAGACGTGTTCGAATTGCTGGAACGACCCGAGAATTTTCCCGTGTCGCTCAGGTTCAGCCGCGCTAGAATGACGACCAACGAAAAGATCTTTCTGGCATCGATGTTTTATCCTTTATTTGCGATCGCTAGTCAATTGAGTCCCGAACCGCGTTGTTCAGGTATAGAAATATTAGAAGCCGATGCGTTCAGATTACATTGTTATCAAACGCTGACCGGCATTAAATTCATTGTGGTAGCAGAGCCCACACAGACTGGCATAGAAATTCTATTGAAAAGAGTATATGAGTTATATGCGGATTACGCTTTGAAAAATCCCTTCTATTCGTTGGAGATGCCGATCAGGTGCGAACTGTTCGAGACTAATTTACAAAACTTGTTGGACAACGTGGAAAAGTCTGGTGCTAGTAGCGTGTAACAGCAGCAACAGCAGCAACAGCAGCAGCAACAAGTTTCAGTCGCAATCGCATCGGATCGCAAAGGTCATCGTTCATTGTTCAGGACCGCTGGATTGGTTAGTAGTAGTAGGTCGACGTCAAATAAGATGTGAAATTTATTGTTAAAACTTTCTGTTTTCCTAACATATGCACTGTGTAACTCACGATGATGGTACATTTATATTGTCGTACGCGCGCATGACAACACACAAACTGCTCTACGAGCGGCTTCCAATATCACCATTTTTATTCCTATTAACTGCGGAAAGTATAAAAGATTCACCACAGAGATTTACAAAAATATAATAACACAGTTAACCGGTTGTTTCGTCAAAGCTCCGAGTTTGGTTTCCTTCCGAGTTCTTCCGTTCTTTTCACGAAACTGTAAACGTCATCGGCCAACAGTCTGGGTTCTTCGAAAGCTGCGAAATGTCCACCGCGCGGCATCACGTTGTACTGAATCATATTTGGATATCTATCTTTCAGCAAGCTCTTCGTTTGTACGAGCAGTTCGTTTGGGAATGCTGCGCATGCTGTAGGCACTTTTACAGGCAATCTGTAAATGAAGTACGCGCCGCGATCACGTGTGAGTCGAATCGTGGCGATATGCGATTCACATTGATTCATACACGATACAAGGATCAAAACGATCTTACTGTTCAATCTTCAAACTCCTGTAAGCCGAAGACATGGTTTCGGCGTACAGTCGGGCGCTCGTTGTGATGCTGTTGGTGACCCAGTATACCATTATATTATCCAAAAGTTCGTCCAACGTAAATTTTTCTAATATTCCGCCGTCGTCTCGTCGCCTGTACTCGACGTTCGTCCAGGTACTGAACTTTTCCAGGAGATACGCCGCCAGAGCATCGGGCGACGACGTCAATGCAGCACCTGTGTGTGTGTGTGTGTGTGAAACGAACGTAAGAACTGTATCGCATAACTCGTCCAGATATTGACGATCTGACGTCGAACGAACGAACGAACGAAAGAAAGAAAGAAATGAAGCGATGGCCGATACGCGCGCGCCCGAGCGATACCTATGGTGTCCGGCTTCGTAGCTTGCAAATGGAAGTAACCGGTCTCTTCGATCAGTGTCGACAGCACGGTGCTGGCGGGCAAATACATCGAGTAGTTCTCGTTAGTTACCCCTATCAATGACGGGAAATAGGAACCGAGGATCGTCCAGAAAAGAGTTTTCAACGTCGAGGAGGTGCACATGTTCAAATGTAAGCCGGTTACTCTGAAATGCAAAAGTATTTAATTGTCAGCTGGCTCCGAGAATCTTTTTCAACGATCTTTTTAAACATCGATCGTCTTTTGTTACGAACTTGTCCGGGTAAAGGGCAGCCATGTTAGCACCGATAAGAGATCCCCAATCTCCTCCTTGAACATAAAACTTTTCAAAGCCGAGTCTGTGCATCAAGTTTTTGAATACGACCGCAATCTGAAAAGAGAACGTAAAACAAATCGCGTGTCGTCTAGCCTCCTCGCGTCGTGTCGGAATCGTTCGAAAAACACGACGGCGGTGAACGCGGTGTTCATGTTTTTAGCGAACGTAAAGTAATCAGCACATCACCTGAGCGCCACCCATGCCTGCTCGTACCGCTGCTTGCGAGAATCCGTAGCCAGGAAGCGACGGCGCAATAATTTCGAACACAAAATTCTGATTAGGCCACGGTTTCCTCAGCATGGGTATAATTTTTTGGAATTCCACCACGGATCCAGGCCATCCGTGTAGCATCAGTAAAGGCAGTACTTTCAACTTTTTCTCGTTCGGCAGATTTGTCGGTTTCACGTGATAAAAATGTATGTCCAGACCTAAAATTTAAATTTTCTCCTCTTACTCCTCTTTCTCTCTCTCTCTCTCTCTCTCTCTCTCTCTCTCTCTCTCTCTCTCTCTCTCTCTCTCTCTCTCGTTCGCTCATTTTTGTGTCGCCTACTATCTACATACCTTGAATATTTGTGACGAATTGAGGATATTTGTTCAGCACAGCTTGTCTCTCGGTCCAATTGTACTTGTCTTTCCAGTAATCGAGTACCGTGTCGAGGTACTTGCTAGAAATACCGTAATTCCATGCTTCATCCTCCAACGGTGGTACATACGGTCTTCTATGCGCGAGACGATATTTCAAATCATCTATCACCTGTGGAACACCAGCGGATCAAGTCGTAAGACACATGTCATTCGGCGAGAGACGCAATCGCGGATTTGTTGAACAAAAATCAGTTACCGATGCCGGCACGTCGACTTTGAAAGGTCGTATTTCGGTGCTGATGGATTCTCTCCCGCTGTTCGGCCCCCAATTTGTATCCGGCAGAACAGGAACGCTAAGTTCACTCGGAGAACTGCTGCACACACACAGATGAATCGAAAAAATCGTTTGATTTAAGAAATTAGGAAATAATGTATTTCAAATCGAAAACCGGTTCTGAATGGAAAAGGAGTTTGCTAAATCGTTCTGTGATCGATAGATTACAACGTGACACTATTCGAATCGGTCGGTAGTAGAAGCACGTAGAAAAAAGCGTGTACTCCACGACGATGTCGTCGTATGACGAGATCTCGAATCTTCGTGAATCCGTGTAACAATAATGGATGTTACGTGGATGTACTTACTTATCATTGCAAACATCTATACTATACGTATATACATACATAAGTATGTGTGAGCAAAGGTCAAAGTAGAGAACGGATGGAATAAAGGAGACGGTTGATCGATCGTTCCTTTTTGTCATGAGACATTCATCTTTAAAGATGACCATTTTTCGATGAGAACTTCAGAACGAAATCGACTGCGGCGGTTCGACTCCGTAGATACGTTCATAATGAAATATCATCACAAGCAGCGATACTTAATAATACTTAATGTGAATTGGCTCTTTTTACGCGCGGAGCGCCTACAAATGTTTTCTAATCTGCGAATGTTACCAGGTTTTACCAGATACCGATGGGCACGTATGAATCGCATACATGCTACACTGTACGCGTACGTAGTACCATGCCATGGAAATAGAACTTCCGAAGCAGCTGCAGTTGGCGGCCCGCAATAATTTCATATTGCTGTTAATCGGCTATATTAGTAACAGTTGCAACAAGTACATATACGCAGTATTATAAGTAATATGACCACGTATAATACATTGATGAAACACAGATTAGAAAATAACACGGATATCTCGTGCAGTGTATACTATAGCATAATATAATACGGTCAGATAACAAAACGTCGAAATGTAATGGAAACATCGAACTACGCTGCTTCATAAAGATCTCACGGCATATTTTATCAGTAACACTGTTTATCATCGTTACGGTATCTTCGCAATTATCGCTTCTTCTACGAGTACTTACAATATCAGACTTAAGTATCAGACGTTCATACGTATATTTTGTCGCACAAAGGCGATACATGTCGATATACTTGTCCATAGTACAGACTTTAGGCCAAATTGCCAATTGCCAATAATACTTACGTATCTATACGTTCATACGAGTCGGAGCATCGGATGCCTCCGGATGCGTGCGACCTTCGCTGGTATCCTCCTTTTTTTTTCTACTCTACTACCTCCTACCTACTTCTTTTTACGCTCGACTTCCATTTGCATTCGTACGTTTTAACATATGACATTTGTAACAGACTCCTTTTACGAGTGGATTCGAATCCGATGGAAATTAATTTTTCTATATGTTTGCATTATTTACATAACGTGTAGATATACGTGCATCTCGATTGATGTCGTCGAGTATAAACAGATAACCTTCGCCGCGATAATAGTTACCTGGAGTAGGGACCCTCCTAGCTACATGTGTGTGGTTCGCTTCACCACGATAGTACTTAATACCATCGTTCGTGTTTTATTGGCGTAACTTTTAACACGATGAGTCGGCAACATCGTACATTTATTTTCTGTTATTTCGGCTGATCGAAAATAATTTCGATTTGGATTCGAAATTATGACAGATAAGAATAGTGCTGTTTAATCGATGTATCGCGGTGACTATAGTATCGCGGAGATCGATGCGATTATCCAACGACAATTTTCGAGCCAGGTAGCCACTTTGCGCCGAACAAAAGTTCTTGATGCGAAGCGTTCGACAAATTTATTGTGTATTCGTTTCGTGAAAATGTCCCACGACATTCATTATTATCTCGAGTCACATACTATTGCGATTCTATGAACACCGTTTGTTGTAGATAAAGAAAAGAGGAGATGAGGCAGAGCATTTAAAAACTAATTCATGTCACACGGACGGACGACCTTCTGTAATAGATCGCGACCGCGTCGAGTTCGAATGAATATCGATTAAAAAATAGCTGGCCTTACCATAAGAAAACACCGAATCCGGTGGCGCAAATGCCCAGCATTACCGCCGTTTTCCACATGTTGGATCGAACGCGTGCGTTACCCGGTTATCAGAACACTCGACTACCTCGGTTACTGCTGACGATGCACGCACGCATGCGGCTATGGGTACACTTGAACGCGGACGAACCTCTATGGACTGGGTCACAGTAATGAGAAAACCAGGTAAAGGTATAGAATCAATCAACGAGACTCGGGAGCAGACTGGTCGAGCGAAGACGAGACAATGAGAGAAAATTTGTGTATCATCGGGCGAAGAAGAGTGGTGGTGTTGTGGTGGCGGCGAGGGAAACTTATCTCTGCCGGTACCACCTAGTGGTCGATTATCGGTACCGTGGAAAATTCCGCGTATGACACGAGTCGACCGCGCAGCGAAAACTAACGTCTTTTCTATTAAATATGTATTACACCACACTACGTCCTGTGATAAATGTGTATTACACCACGCATACGTCCACGCTTTCTTCCCGATCGATGTATGCACACAGTAGTGGTAGCACGTGATTATCAAAAGAATGAAATTGCACGCACTATAAAAAATTAGTTTAATAAAAAGAGATTTACAGTTGGAAGTGTTTTATATGCAGAAGGATACTTTTGTTTTCCCGGAAATCGTATTCTACCGTAGAGCACCAGATCGTCGATATTCAACATTCAGGAAACACAGTATACGTATTCTTAATGATGAATCATACTTACAATTAGATGTAAATAAGTATACGTCTGTGCACACGGGTAACACGCGTTGACCCGACGCCGCCGTCACCACGTGGTATACATCTTCTTTTAATTTATACGTGCTACATATGCAACGTTCCAGGTACCACAGTTTGGCTAACGTTCGGAACAAAAAGGCATACGTGTAGAACGTTTTATATTTGTCGAAGAACGACACGTACGTCTTCGGCGCGTAAGACTGAAAATCTTTTTTCTAATCTCTGCTTGCGTATTATTGCACAAGATCCTACATCGTACGCGCATTGTGACTGGATGTAAAAATGTCAATTCCCATCGTGTTCGCTTCACACACGACATCGCGTTCGTTTGTATGAGAAATTGACATTAAAACCATGACGATTCAAATCGTTTCACGTCTCGTATACTTAGGTACTTACATAGTACTTGGGTATTTTACGACGCGGCGACCGATCTACACATCTCTACACTGCGGGCAATCATACTTTTGACTTTTCACTCTTACGAAGTGAGTCCGCGACCCTCTTCCTCTCAGACCTTTAAACACAGCGCGTAACGTTAAAAAGTTCAGTTGCTCTGCTGTCACACGTGTGCGATCGTAGAGAAATAGGTATGAATCTCGCCGCGCGCCACCGTGTCGAAAGGTACAGGTGCAAACGTATATGAACTACGTATACAATACGTACGTATGTGAATAAAAATAAAAATAAAAACGCTTAAAACTAGTATTAGTAGTATGTATGTATGTACATGGAGGAACGACTGGCAAATACGTTCAGCTTGGTACTGGTCTCTGGCGGCCTGTCTAAAGCAGTGACGGCAAATCTATGACCCGCGGCTCAGACACTGGACACCCACGCAGACCTTTTAAATGACCCACGCGTTGATCTTTGTCTGAACTTACTTTTTATATCATGAAAGAGAGAACAGACAGAAAAAATAATGAACAAAATTTTACCCGCTTCTCGAAAAGGTTCGCCATCACTGGTCTAAAGGATTACACAATTTACTATGCTTAACGCTCTCGAATGAGCAAACGCACGATTGTCCGCGTTCCATGTCGCGTCGCCGTGATCGTACGACACACTGTAGAAAGTGTCGACGATGACGTGTCGAATGATGTTCGATAGATCGAAATTCAGAGATAAAAGCTTGATCTTTTCTCCGTGACGCGCGCGATCAATTCGCCACACTACTATACGTAAACTTGAAACTAAAAGCTTTAATCAAGCATAATCGACGATTGAAAGTCGAAAGGCACCACCACCGTGTTCCTCGTGACAGCTTCGAAGCACCTCACCGGATCCTCGCGCACTCGGAAACATCGAGACACAAGCTCACGCGCGCGTTTACACATACACGTTCGTCGACGTTGAACACAACGAAACAAAAAGTTTGGTCAGATCAGATCGTTGAAGAGAGACGCGGCAATAAATAAAAATTGAAAAATAAAATAAGATTAAATTATTTAGAAATGATAATTTCGTTTGTTATCATTGTTCGATCGTCGTCGAAGCGATTCGTGCTGACTAGCTGCTAGGAAGCATTCGACGACGCTGGTCGAATGCGATGCGACCCGAGTCGAGTCGAAATAACGGAACTGTCCGCTGGATCCTGGTCCGAATCCAAGTTGGAAAGAAGATAGCTGCTAGTGAGGCTGGTCAAACGACGACGATTGAAATATTTGCCAGCCAGTCGCCTCCGTGATCGGTAATGACTCCTGATAAACGAATGACAACGGATAGATTCGTTACTAAACCTTTCAGCCTATTGGAAGTGGTGGAGAATTTTTGCGAACAACGAGATTTAAGAGGACAGCGCCAGGCCCAAACGAGCAAACGCCATTTCCTTTCGCAACCGTGTAATCTCCCAGTAAACATCGTGAACTGCAACAACGATCAACTTTGTGGGTCTATGCTATCACTGGAAGAGATGAGCGGCGAGCCGTTTCCACTTACCCGAGCTCTTCACAAGGCCACGTTCGATGTAACGCAGGTAATTCAAAAAATCGCAGACCGCTATTATCTGTCGGCAGCGAAAAGAAACGCTTAATTGGTGATTCGCGCGGACGACAAGTAGAGCACGTACACGCAGCAGCAGCAGCAGCTTCGAAACTTACCCGATTGCGACAGATTTGCGATATGCTGTGCCACTGATTCTCTTGATCTCCGAGTCTCATTCGATAGTAACATTGCCGAGGTGCTTCGAGCAGTACGCATTTCCTACAAACAGAAGGGAGAGAAGATGTAACACGACGGCGGCTCGGAGACGGCGAGAACAGACGGCGAAAGGCGTACGAGAAAGAGACGCGTGCATGAGGGTGGCACACGCAGTGTAATACCGATCGAACGATTTACTTTGGAAAAGTGAATTTAGTTTTGTCGCTGATCGCTTCGATGAAGATGATACCATCGAGAACGGCTTGTCTAACTTTTGTACCCAATTCTTCGTTAGGGAAATCGAGGCAAAGGTCAATGTCTTCTTTGAAGATTCTGGCAACAAAAGGATCGCCTTCGTCCACGCACGGATTCGACTTCCATTTTAGAAATTCCGTATGCACTCTGGGATCGACCTCGAGGCCGAAATCTTTGCACTCTTTATCCTTTTCCTTCTCGGACGGATCCGATTTCCTCCAATCTCTCTCCAGCGTTTCTCGATCAGACGGCAGAGAAGGCCTTTGTTCCTTCAGCGGAGAATCCGGCGGAGAACTCTCTCGACCGTACTTCAAATTGAAATGCGACGGCGACCTGTGCGAATAGGATCGAACGAATAATTATCTGGTTTCAAATTGTAAAGTACTTGTCTACCGATCGTCCGTAGTCTACATCCCCATCCCCGTCGATACACCGTCGTTGTCGTCGTCGTCGTCGTCGTCCAAGCGATACGATTCAGACGGGGTACAGCGGGGATGCAGCGTAAGCCGCCGCAAACGAGTAAAACAATGATGAACGAGTTTCACCTTCGATGTTTCCTAGCAAAAAGACTCTGCTGATGAGTAGCGTCGTCGTTGTTGGTCGTCGTCGGGCGACTCCGCGTATCGATTTGTGGGTGCAAATGAAAATTGGGTTTGGCAGGCGTCGAAGTCAACACTAACGTTTTCAGAGCTGCTACCTCGGCAGCTAAAACTTCGGCTTTCATACGACTTTCCTCCAATAGGCGCTCCGCCGTAGCTTGACGTACGTTAGCTTCCCGTACCATGTTATGCGCCTCCTGTACGCACACAAAAATCATTATTGCATCTCGGGAAACGCGAGTGTTTCAAACGCGGCGGCGGCGACGGCGTTACGAACGTATACAGCCGTGGCCCGCCATACACAGTGTACAATACTTGAAAGAGGCTGGCAGTGAGTTCTTCCAATTCGATTTCGACGTCTCGTTTGATTCTCGAGAGCCTCGCGACTTCCTCATCTTTTAGCCTCAACTCCTCGCGCGCTCTCTCGAGTTCGTCCTGCAGCTTCGATACCGCATGCTCCTTTACCTCGGCTATAGCTTTACCCCATTGTAAAACGGTCGGCGAAGGCGACTCCTTGCCTGCTGGAGAGACCTACGAATAAATTCCGCGTGAACCACACCGCATAATTCCGACCAATAAAGATGAACGCGAGTACGCGATCTTGAAGACACGACGATCTTGAAGACACGACGGCATCGAAATATCGTGCAATATAGTAAGAAATTACTTGAGAATCTTTCGCGTACAGCAACGTTTTGGTGGACTCATGGCAGCGATCGTTCTCGGTCAGCGATACTTTCTCGTTCGTTATCTCAGCGTTCTGCTCGTGAACAGTCGCGGCGGCGGCGGCGATGGCCAAGGGCTCGATGCAATTTTCATTTTCGAACGATTTGTCTCGCTCATTCTCATTTAGCCTCGCCAAGGTGTTACAAGATTTTGCGAGATTTCTTTCTTCCATCGTTGGCGAATCTCGATATCGCAATAAAACATCGTGGTGCTTTCTGACGTACGCAAATACAGAAACGGTCCCGATCGCACTGGAACTGCGAAAAAAGATCAACCGTTCGAGATAAACTTCCGACGATGGAAACCGCGGACCGTCGTTCGAACGACGACATCGTTAAAGATACGTGACACACGCGCACTGTAAGTATACGGTTCCTGAAAATAGTATTTCGGCAATCGATTTTAGACGCGTTGCGCAACACTAAGCTCTACACCACCGTATCGTTCTGCGTGTCGTTGTCGTCGTCGTTGTTGTTGTTGTTGTATACTTACGTTACGATTTGCGCGCGGCGGACGGACGATCTAAATCCAAAAAAAGGAATGCATATATCGCGGGTGTTTAGATGCAGGTGGGCATCTACGACTATGAATAGCTTTGATCGCACGCACCACGCCAACGAACGAGTGCGACGCCACAAAATTGTTTTACTACAAGTTTCGTGTTACACGTGTCTACGTGTACGTACCATGCAGTATGTACGTGCTGCCGCTGCTGCTCCTGCTACTGCTGCTGCTGCTGCGTACTCGGTCATCGAGAGAGGATCGTCGAAACGGAAAGGTCATTGAAATAAGTAGTTCTTTCACAGGATCACTCGAATCGCCTCAGAAGCATTTAAGCGTAATTCTATTCCATACGTTTCGTAACGGGACCGATCTCCGGGGCGATGTTTTACCACCAATTCATCTCGCCAATTAAAATAACCAAATCCTACCTATAATTACTTTTCTTCCAGCCTCGGTCGAACGCGAACATCTCGCTTCGCAATAAGGAAGCAACTCATCGTCGCTGAGAACCGTCGTCAAATGTATGCGTGCGTGCGTGCGTGCGTGCGTGCGTGCGTGCGTGCGTACACTAATCGATCCGAAGATGCGAGAACGATTCGAATTCGCAACGCCTGGTAGCATCCCGACATCCGCGACTTACCCGTGAATCTCTGTCTATGCAACTCCTCTCCAGCCATCAGTGAATCCGGCGAAGAACATCGAACGAAACGTTGGAGAGGACGAAACGAGAAAAGGAAACGGAACCTTTGTAGACGATACGCGGTCAACTTCGCGCGAACGCGTACAAAATCGAAACATGACCCGTAGTACCCATTACCTCGCAGCAGAAACTGCTGTCACTTATTGCCACTTGCCACTTACTGTTGCAACTGCAACGCTCGCAACGCGACTCGACCGAACGACGCGATTGACGCGAATCTGAGCTGAGGAACGACCGAAGAGCAGCGGCGGCGGACCGAACGCACCGAACGGACGAACGGACTAGGCAGAGAACGAACGGTTGAACGAGAACGATGACAATTGACGATTGACGAACGATGGACGGACGACCGACCGACCGACCGACCGACGTAAGTATAGCAGATGGCCGGAATCGTCAACTTTCCAGGCGCCACAGGTTAACGTTAACAGTTACACACCGTCAAATGGCATGTACCAGCTCGTACCACTTCGTCCGTACATACACATACATACTACGTTGCACTTACAGCAGCTACTACTACTACAATAGTACATCTACTACCTACCTACGCCTACGTACGTACGTTTATACATACGTACATGCATGCTCGTGCTCTGTAGATTACGAAATCATCCAAGTTCACGCGCGTCTCGAATTTAACAAAATCGTACATGTACGTCACGTGTGTACATACATAGATCACAGTTACGCACACGCACGCGACAAACTGAATTTGACTGAATTACAAGCGATCAATTCAATCGCGCTCGACGCCGCTGTACTTACTTAATTCTTACATTCTCAATTGTATAATCACGCTTTCTCACGGTCTGGTTCCGGCTTGTGTCAATCACACACAGATAGGAGACGATACGAATGAAATAATTGGAGGCCGGTATTCAGATCCGTTGCTTATTGTTAAGATCGTCTTAAGCATTTGCTATCCCTGTCTATCCCATGTTTCCAGTCCCTGAAAAAATTGCGTGCAAATCAAAAATTTGTCAAGAAAGTCTTGATAGACTTTGATCTGAACGTAGTACATGTTCCATAAAGTAAGCATGTCTCTAACAAATCGTTTCATTTTCACAAAAGTGTCTTAATGAAAGACCTTTTCAAATATCGTTGTCGTTCGTTGTCAGAATATGATTATATGGCGCGATGCACGCACGCGATTCAATCGAGATGAAAACGAAGAGTGCTGCTGAAGATTGAACAGGAGAATAGAACGAAGTCACACGAATACCAAACGACGTCGATGGACGTTGGTCCCTATGCGGCGGCCGGGCAAGTAAATCATGGGCCGGTATTCAGAGTCGTTGCTTATTCTTAAGATCGTCTTAAGAATTTGCTATCCCTGTCTTGTACAGGACTTAACATGGACTTAAGCAAATGCTTAAGACGATCTTAAGAATAAGCATACCGGCCACAGGCCGGTGTATTCAAGTCTGATGAAGGCTATGAAGTAGATGTGAGGCAGGGATGTGCGCATACATGCATGTTGTCCGTCGCTACGGCTACGGCCCGTTCGCCCAATCGTCGGCTGTCTATAGTTGGTGGCGGGACGATTATGCTTATGGCTGAAATTTAAAATGATGCACTCGGCTCTCTCGCCTCTACGATTCTTTGTGGAAGAAAATATATTATGGCATGGGAATCGAGAGTCGGAACCGTGGTCGGAAGAGCGTGGTCAAGCAGAATAGTGAGTAAGTTAAATTCATTCTGAAATCTTGTGACCGAAACGTGAGTTTCACTGTTCCTCACGCACGGCGCTATGATCGAAATGTCTCACATATGTTACATATGTTACAACACTCGCGCGTGGTGTGCACTCTCGCAGTTTCTCTCTGCTTCAATAAGTTTTGTACGTCATCTGTAGATCAGATTGATTTGCATTAGAGTTTGTTGTACTATGTAGTACGTATCAGAATTAATGATGGTGAGAGATATGATTATCGGACGTCGGTAGAGTCACGTAACTTGGATATCTTTCATGTGCAACAGCCAGATGATACATAACGCGGTGCGGGGGTGCGGAGTAGAGCGCCGCGTACAGAGAGCGTAGAGAGCATATACTTAGCTATCAGCGCCGCAAGCACGCGCAAATCGACCGTCGCCGTCGTGCAATCATGCGATGCAGGTGCGATGCGAGTGCCGGTAAAACAAGAACGAACGTGAAATACAGTCGCGTAAGATCCTTGTCCGGAGTATAACGTGTTTTTCGTGCATCGTCGTTTTAGGTGCGGACCACGGTCGTACGTATAGTAGTACCACCGCGATACCTGCACGACACTCGTTGTTCGTAATCTTTGAGCGTATATAGCCGTACCGCATGAGACGGTTTCACAGACGCACCATCACCACAGTCCGGAACGGGAACGAGAACAGAGGACGATCGCGAACGGAATTTTTCGTTTGCATATGATACGCGTCGTAAATTACTCACTGGTCGATACGTGGCACGGTGTCAACGTGACGAACTGTAAGCAGATATTAAATATTTTTGTGGCATAAGAAAGCGACGGGAAAACATGTCCACGGCATTGTTGGCCGTGTTTGCCGTGATCCTGTGTATCCTATTCAGGATATTGAACGTAAACAGTGCACCACAGAAGCCATTGATCGTCTGTCAAGATGAGTCGTTCCTTACGACGGTTCTTAAAATCGCACATGTCATCGTAGAACCGTGAGTTTACTTATTGTTCGTTCTGTATTCCTTTAAATATTCGATGCCTGCCGCTATCAAAATTCCGACCGTTTCCAAGTACGTGCTATCTGCACGAAGGGAGGTGTGTGAGGTTAGGGCAGTTCGGAACGTTCTAAATATGTACGCGCGAGTGTAATTTAATGTGTGTACGAGCACGATTTGAAATTAACTATAATAATAATAATAATAATAATAATAATAATAATTTCACGTTCACGTGTCTCGCGAATTTTCTATACGAATCGATCGACTTCCTTTTTTATCTGATCTGATAATGTCTCGGTCTTCTCGAACGTGTTTTGTCGGTAGACCAAAGATGAAAAAATTCGCCGCGAGACAGCAATGTGAGCTACTGAGTAAATGCACACTTATCGCTCAGTTCGCTTTTCCATTTTGGACAATAAGAGTAAGTAAGCACTTTCTACTGTGTACCGCAGTATGATCCTGGTTGTGCGACTTCATTCAACAAATGGCTGCAAATGCCTCGATGGCAGTTGACGTACATAGCCATGTGCATTTAATATACGTATATGATTTAATCGATCCGAATTTATGACTAATGCAATTTTATCTTCCAGTACGTACGTGTACGCGAGGAGCGCGTCGCAAGTGCGTTTTTTAAATTGTTCCGACTGGAATCGTCGTCATCGTCGGAGTAGTGTTACAAAGCATCTCTGTGGATCGTTCAATCGAATCGTTTCTCGCGAGACTTTCTCAACGACGAGAAACGAATCGTCGATATTAAGTATATGTACTACGTGATACATGACTAGCTAGTTATACGACCGGTGCATTTCCATAGAGAGGCTCTCCGTGCATTTTCCTATCGAGCAATCGCATTTCCTAGCAATCGCGTCGCTTTCGCTTCTGCGCGAACAAGTACTTACTCTTGTCGACTGCTACTACTACATACTTTATTACGTACTCCCATATGCAAAGAAAGAGTTGCTAAATGGTTCGCGTATGGGGTGCGTGCCCCGCTAGGAATCATCGTTTCATCTTCTCGTCGTGGTCGTCGTACACACATGTGCACTATTGTATGTAATCGAAAGCCGATCTTTGATCGAACGACAATTATCTATTTCCCGATGGAGAGAGGGAATAACTAATTATTCCACTCCGCTGAATGTGTCCGATAAATTACGGCAATGTATGTAAATTTTTATTGTTCGCCGATGATTTAATTTGTAAATTCAAATGTGAACGAATCGTTGTTATCGTAACGTGTCTAACGAAACGAGCCGGAAAATAACAAGCTGAATGGTGAACTTTTAATCGATCGTACTTGGTCGACCTTGACTACGAACGGTCTACACGTATCGAAGATATGAAATGACTAACGTCGTGGCATCATACGTCCACTAATAACGATCGTATAGTTTCTAATTAACAGTTAACGATTTGTCTTATCAGTTACGTACACGAGAATCCTTAAGCGGTTTATTATTGACACTCGATCACACAGCGTACAATTACCGTATACCATGTACTTGACATTGCATTACGAAAAGAAGATGTTCTGAGCCGAGACCTTGGAGACCTCCTCTAAATTGTTAAACACCTGGTGCTGCTTACCACCGCTAATAAAGTTAGTTATTGTTAGCAGCGCGGTCTTGAGAATTTCACTTTTTACGATGCGTGATTCGAAGAACAGCTGCTTCTTCATCGCAGAACAATTTCTTATCGTCCACCTCTTTTTTTTTTATAACCGTTAAGAGACTTGCCAACCTATACTGTGACTTCAAGTAACCCACCTTTGTGTCCGTGGGTCAACGGATCGTGCGATTACACATATTTCTTCGTTTATAAACGATAAACGGTATATTGTATTGATCGTCGTATAACCAACCAGCTTTGTTCTAAACATCGCGTATCGTTTTGTCTGACTAGCAATAACTTGGACACCGCTTGTCCGTTCCACTTGTTCCACCGTTTCTAGGCTTGTTACTTGAGCGATTGATTAGGTAAATCGGCTCGGCTCTCTACATGTTTAAAGTGTTCAAATCCGATGATCAAAGATCGATATCGTCTTCGACCCGCGCAATGAGGAAGGGAGTGTACAGAGAAAAGTACTCGACTCGTTTCGTTCGACCGAAATTCGATGATCGAATAAGCTGTAGCATAGTACATGGACGACTTATTTCTGAGGACTAGAAACAAAAAATATTGAACGTTTCTCGGGTCGGCGACAAACAACACGGTTACACGTGGGTGAGCGAGCAGCAGTTTTCTCTGCCGCATTACCGGATTATTTTTTTTTATGGCACATACCCCGTGTACATGCCGCTAGGCGCGTTAGCTGTTCGATGTCCGAGTAATTTTTACGGCTCTACGATCCACTAGAGAATTCTTAACGTTGCTATTTTAACGAAGCTAGAGAGTTAAATGATTCGCCGCCGCTGCCACGGTTAGCTCCGCGCTTTTCCTCTCGGCAAAAATTCCGCCGCTTAATTGGCCGCCCCGCTTTCACAACGGTAGACAGCGAACGCGTCTATCACCATGTTTAGTGTCGAATTTGAATGAACGGCACAGGCGCCGCTCCGCCGTACCGTACTCGCTCGCGATTTAACGCATCGAAACAAGTTGAACTTTCATGGGTCAACGTGAAACGCGTGTACAATTTCAGATACAAACCGACGAGGCTATGGGGTTTCAGTGGTCACGTACAAACGATCGTTCACAGTATCATCGGCCGAGTCCGTTGCCCTTGGCCGATCGGAGAACGAGTGTACATCGCGCTTCCGGATGAGACCACACTTACCTACGACCTGTATCAACCGTTGACCAATGATTACGAAGGTTCGTTGTTGCTAAAAATTCGTTGCACACCCGAATGTTCCGGTGTTGAATCTTAAAGACGGCGAGTGGATTTTTATATATCTTTCTATGCTTTTCTTTTGTTGACCGCAGATGATGTAACGATCGCTATCTGCCCTGGGATCTGCAACAGTTCCGAGAGCGTTTACGTTAGAACTTTCGTGCACTGTGCTCAATGCCATGGGTACCGATGCGCGGTGCTCAATCATGTCGGAGTACTTTCCAGCGTGAAAGTGACCGCACCGAGAATTTTTAGCTATGGTACGCGTGCGACAACTGTACAACGATATATATGTGTGCTGAGTCAGTCCGACTGTACAAGTTTTCTTTTAAAGTTTAACCGCGCGGTCAATGATTTTTACGTATTACGTGTTCGACTTGCGTTTCCGCTAGTCTAGTGATTATAATGCCCGGTCGGTCGATCGGTCGCCCCCGCGCAAAAAAGCAATCGACTTAGGTTTGGTAGATGATGATTCATACTCGCGTATTTAAATGTGAAAAATGTACAATACCGGGAACAGTGTTTGTTGTTGTAAACCGACCGTACCAACCAGATGCATTGCAATTGCATGCGGAAGTATCGAACAAGTACTTAGTAATTAAACGAATGATCGTAGCAGCAGAGCCTGGGCCACGAAAGTGGGCTCGTGCGCGGAACCGTTTCGATTGAATCTCTGCTTCGTTTAAACATTGCAGGACATACCGACGATTATCACACGATGCTATTGAGTTTGATGGAGAAGCATCCGAATACGAAAATAATTTGCATTGGCTTTAGCTTGGGCGGTAACCTTGTGTCCAAGTATTTGGGTGAACGAGGATCGAATAAATTAGCCAGTATCATCGGTGGCATATCTATTTGCCAAGGATACAACGCCCTTGAGTAAGTTTACGTGTGTACCACCACCCATCACCGTCTGCTGCTAATCGTATCGTTAATGTACCATCCTTATCATACGTTTTACCATGCGCGAACAGAGGTACCAAGTTCCTGCTCAATTGGCAAAACTTTCGACGTTTCTACCTGTACATAATGTCGGAATCGGTGAAAAGTATTATACTGAAGCATAAAAATATATTGCTGTCCGAGGAAGTTAAACAAAGATACAATCTAAACGAACGGGACATTATTTCTGCCGCGACTTTACCAGAACTCGATGAAGCTTACACAAGAAAGGCAACCAAGTTTATTTTACTAATAGATTAGAATTACGATTACGACGAACGATGCCGAATTCCAGTTAGATTTGTTAACGTTGAACAACGGTCACTGTGCGCAGGTGCACAACTTCAGATCCGTCAAGGAAATGTACAAATGGAGTAGCTCTTTGTTCTATCTGGACAACATCGCGGCACCTATGGTGTTCATAAACGCGTTGGACGACCCTCTTGTACCTGACAAGTTGTTAGAACCCATCAGGATGCATGCCGGTGAGTATTGACGACGACGACGACGACGACGATGATGATAATAATCAATGGACCTAGGATGCGAACTACTTTCTGAACGCATCCAATCCATTCAGTACGCAGCACAGAACGAAACTTATTGCGATTTGATCCTGTTTCAGAAACTCACGCGAACACGTTATACATAGAACTGGCTCACGGAGGACACTTAGGATTTTACGAGGGTGGTCTTCTCTATCCAAACCCCATAACATGGCTAGATCGTACGCTTGTGTCGCTCGTAGGCTCTCTCACGTTAGCACACGCAGACAAGTCGTTGAAAGCTGCCTCTTAACCCTCTTAATTTTAGTTTCATTCCCGATCTACTCGACCCTACCTTGTAAGTAAACGAACCGTTATTTTTGCCGTTAAGCGGCATACAGCTCATACTTTTGATCTTGTTTCAAGATCTCATTCGTCTGGTGATTCTCGAGTCGAGAGACCTATGCGTTATATTGTGCAACGACATACGTTATACGCGAATACCCGAGGGGTGCACGCGGATCTCGTGATTACACAGGATCCCGTTCAGCGCGCGATCGAGAGCAGCGAGTCACTGTCGCGCGTAGGTTATCTATATTTAATTTGTGACGGTTGACTCGAGATAAAAATTGCACGCAACTTGGACAACGTCGATTCAAAGAAATCGTTTATTAACTGAAATAAATTTCCGAAGCGATGGGCTTAGCAACGATTCGCGTTTTCATATCCGATGTCTCGGTCATTAACGCTTTTACACTCAGGGATCTTTGATAGGGCGACTTGACAAAGGGACGTTATCAGAACGTGACGTACAATTTACAGAAACGATTGATGACCGTATATACAATAGAATCGCTCGCGTTAGGAGTACGGAGCGTAGCGTAGGAATTCGCGTTTGCGGCTTGATTGAAAATTGTTGAAGATTACGAGAAATGAAAGAGAGAGAGAGAGAGAGAGAGAGAGAGAGAGAGAGAGAGAGAGAGAGAGACGGTGGAACGGTTTCGATTTCATAGTTCGTTCCCAGAGCGTAGCAAATTTGATCGAAAACGCCATACGCGCAAGTTTCTAAAAGTACGCCAGTAACCAGCAAAAATGTAACTTCTTAACAATGAATATGTTTTGCATGTATTATAAAAACGAAACTGCGCGTGGCGATTCGGAGATAAGGCAATGAAATAAATTTATTGGATCACGCGTGAGAATAACGAAGGTTGGAAATCACCTCGGTCCTACTACAGTACTGTATAGGCTGTAGACGATCCTCTTCTATGGTTCTACTCGATCTAGTATATCTGACTGATCCATCGTTCGGCTGTTGTGTTTGCACACGTTACGCGCTCAACGCGATACGAAACAGACATGCATTTCTGATTCCGTATATTTATTTAGTAAAAAGTATTACAGTTTTATTGATGCATTATTTAAACGATGTGTTCAGAACGGCATCTTATTTTTTCTCATCCTTCGATAATAATTATTTGTTAGTCAGTTAGTAGATAGTCAAGTATTTCGCGCAACAGTACAACACAACGTACGTAATCGCGTTTAAAACTGAAAGACTAGGAAAACGAATGTTTTTGTTTCATTGATAAAAGTGACTTGCGTGGTACTAAGTTATGTAATATAGTGATACGATATACAATCGTTCGACTTATATTATTTATACGAAATATAAATAATGCTTGTATCTTTGGAGGCGTGTGTATAGAATTCTATTCCTTTATACGTACGTGTGTAGGTAGTATACTAGGTACGTTCCCGAATAATAATAATAATAATAATGATAATAATAATAATAATAATAAGAATAATAATAAATGATGGCCCTGAGCTTTCTGTTCACGTCGTTCAAAGTATATCTCACGGACAATAATTAGAAACAGTTACTGATAGACGTTTGTACAGTGAACTGAACAACGTAGAGTTACGTAGTAATGAATTACGATGTAACGAAAGCATTTGATACTTGTCAACCTATTTATTTTTAGTTGTGTAATTCAACGTCCAACTACTAACGATGGCTAGGTCGTCGTCGTCGTCGTCGTCGTTGTCGTCGTTTCGTTGTTCGACAGTTTTCGAATAATAATTTATAGATATATGCACTATCGCGTACCAGACTCTGGCCGACGAGAATAAAATGGCTACGAAAATATACGTGCGCTAACTTAACGACGAGTTCAATGTCGAGCAGCAGCTAACGAGGAATCAAACGGATCGCTGTACTATACATTACGATCGATCGCTCGGTAAGCGTGCAGGATGGACGGTATCATTGTAGTATTCGGCAAAAACCATTCGAGCAATGCACAATACATATTTTGGCGTATCATCGAATCGCGAATCAATATGAATTCTGTATCGAGATAGATATTTACATTTACAATTAAAGCATTTCAGCATGAGTACGAATGGCAGCTGTGTATGTATTTGTGTAAACGTAAGGTGCATAGTGTAGTAGCGTCGCTGCGTCGACGGCTATTTGCAAAACTAATAGACGACGCTGGATGAAATGTGAATGAACGTGGATTGTATCGTTAAGTTTTTCGATCCACTGTTTATTTGTATATCTCCTATTACAAGAGATGTCGAAATTTATATTCCAATCGGCCGGTTGGAATCGAGAGTGTCTCTTGAACAGAGTTGCAAGCAGGAGTGCCCAAGGGAAAGTCTCCAAGCGAGAATCTCCTAGCGAGGGTGTAAGCAAGGGTGTGTGTACATGGTCGGTTTGAGGTGCCGACTTTACATCGAAAAGTACTGCCAGAGCCGGACCAATTCGTAAGTCAGCGCTGCTGACAGGCACTTGTAACTTTGCAAACAAACATCTGGCTTGACCAAATCTGGCGGAAAACCCAGAAGACCCAAACGGCTTGAGGGCTATTGCCGTCATAAATCGTACAATAGTCCTTTTTGACATATGGTTGTATCGCATGATGCCTCTCCTAAACTTGACGGTCGTTTACAATCTAACACTTAGGCCAGTATTCAGAGTCATTGCTTATTCTTAAGATCGTCTTAAGCATTTGCTCAAGTCCCTGTTCAAGACAAGGACTGGAAATATGGGATAGACAGGGATATCAAATTCTTAAGACGATCTTAAGAATAAGCAACGAATTCTGAATATCGGCCTTAGAGTAAAGAGTGCCTTGGCTCAAGTTCTGCCGCTATCACATATAGGTCAACAATTTTCAATTCAAAAGATTTCTTCCTGAACGAACAACAAGTTCTCTATTCGTTTCGACTAGGTTTCTCTAGTTGTTATATTTAAATGTATTAAACGCGCGTAGTACACGACTCGCTGACAATTTCGAAAATGGGACGAACGAACGCGAGAGAAAGAGAGAAAGAAAGAGAGAGAGAGAGAGAGAGAGAGAGAGAGAGAGAGAGAGAGGGAGAGAACACTTGGAACCTGGATTACTCTTTACTTTTTCTCCGACGACGAGCTAAACGAATTTGTGACTTTTAAACGGCTGTTTGTAATGATGAGACGAAATGTTTGCACTGAAAATATACCTTTTCCACAGATCGATATATTTGTACGTTGTACATAGCTGATGCACCTGTTACTAATGTAAAATTTACATGCCACTTGGGAAAGTTATACATGCGCCGCGTATGTATGTACAAGGACATGCATACACAAGGATGTAGCTGTTTGGCGGGATAGTTCGACGTGAAATATCGCAGCCTTTTTTCATCGTTCACTGGCGCCTAGAAATCATTGGAGCGTTTCCTATGCGCACACATACACGCGTATGTACACGCACATTTCGATGTATCCGTATAAGCCGTAAGAGGCAACGCGAGTCAGCAAGACACTTGCCCTTACTGCCGCCGATGACATTATGGAACAATCAGTCAGTCAGTCAGTGAACGTCGTCGGTGTCTATTAGTCCGCCCGCGCGTAGCCGCACTAGTCAGTCAGTCAGTAGCGACAGTAGCATAGAAACACTGATCTGGGTAATCAGATTCAGTTTCGGCTGCGCAGCCTTGCCGCTTACACACGATAATTCGATTTGAGACGCGCGCGCGCGCGCGCACACACACACACACACACACACACACACACAGCATTCTCGCCAGAGACACCGCCGAAAATGCGGTACAACTTTACTTGTTGTTCGTTCGCAATATTAATCGTGTGCGCGAGCACAACTATCGCGTTTCCACGTGGTGGTGGTGGTAATTACACAAGGCTACGGAATGAAATTTTGGAGTACGAACGACGTCTGATGATAGGCGCTAACTTGTCCTTGTCTGACGTTGAACGAGCTGCGAACAAGATCCTAATGAAGGCGAAGCAAGAGGAATTGCATGCTGGTTCGTTTCCTCCTTCGAACGTATATCCGAATCCGTATATTTCGTTTCTATAACGTATGAAAGCTAGCTGCACGACCGTCGCCGGTATCTCGTCGAATTCAAAATGCGCGTTCGCACAGCTCTGCGTTGCCCATCGATCATCATCGCATCTTATCGATCTGTTGATAATAATCGACCGACGAGCTGGATCAACACGATCCAGCTCGTCGCCGGAACGATGCCGGAACGACTTAATTCAAGAGCGGATCTACGGAAGTTTAATTCAACGTTCCTTTGTCGTCGTCGTCGGTTTTCCGCCGCTCTGCTCGACTTTTGTCGCGTGTCGTGGAAACAAAGCAAAGCAGAGCAGTGAAACGGACAGTGAATCAGAATCGTTCTTTGTTAAATCTTCTTTTTATCGGCCTCTCGCGCGCGTAACTCGTACGCGTTTCGATGAATTGTTGTTTCAGGGTTCAAGGATCCTCGATTATTCGCTCCGGCGCGAAACTTCCTCGAGGCCAAGAACGACATCGACGGATCGAAGGTCTTCCAATTGATTCGGCACATGCCGAAAGGAGCAGTACTCCACTCTCACGATACCGCTCTCGTCAGTAGCGATTACATCTATTACAATGTCACGTTTCGCAACGATTTATACGCTTGCATCGAGAAAGACACCGTCGAATTACGTTTCTTTCGAGTACCCGATAATTCCTGTAGTTGGGAGCTGTTGAAGGACATACGCCGAGACCCGACACGGGGTGAGATAGTGAACGATATGATAAGGAAAAGAATGTCGATGCGATGCGACGATCCTACGTCGTCCTATCCTAACGTCGACCGAGCCTGGCACAAATTTATCGATATATTTGCGTTCGTCGGACCTCTGCTCACGTACAGACCCGTTTACGAGGATTATTTCCTCGAGGCTCTGAATCAATTGTACGAAGACAATGTGATGTATCTTGAACTGAGATCGACGTTGCCGACTTTGTACGATTTCGATGCGACGACGAAATACAAGCCTCGAGATCTGGTCGGAATCTACAGAAATCTTACTCGAAGGTACCTTCATTTTTCTTTCTTACTCTCTTACTTTCTCTCCTGCAGTTACTACCATTTCATATCCTTTACGAACTTGCGACTAAGAACGACTAGTATCTCGAACGTAGAGACATCGTGGGTGGTAATTGGTAGCAAAGATGTATAACAAAGATTGGCTCGGCGTTCTTACTTCTTGTCTCCCAGATTCAAGGAAATGCATCCGGATTTCGTAGGAGCGAAACTGATTTACGCTCCTAGACGATCCGATACTTACGAAGATACGAGAGATCACGTCCGGATCATGAGCGAGATAAAGGAGTTGTATCCTGACTTCGTAGCTGGATTCGATCTGGTCGGCCAGGAAGACAAGGGTCACACCCTCGAGGAATTCGCTGATCTATTGAGAGAAGTTGGAAAACGTAACATCAGTTTCTTCTTTCACGCAGGAGAAACTAATTGGTTGGGCGCTCCTACCGATGAAAACCTCGTTGACGCTATTTTGTTGAACACGCGACGTATCGGTCACGGGTGAGTAGTACCGCGTTCAACCTGTTGCTTTTGCCCTTCCGGCTACTCCCATTGTTACCCGTTGTTACCACCCCCACGACAACGATCGAAATTTCATTTCGCCGAGCACGTCTTCGTTTCCCCGTCATTGTCAGGAACCGTAGCCCTATTCCGCCGCGTACCTACTCATAGATCGCTGTGTTTTTATCGTACGTAACAACAGAGATCGTAAGACGAACGCACCCGTGTACTTCTATCGACGTCGCTGTTACGCAATTTTTGTCTAGATACGCGTTGGCCTCTCATCCTTTCCTCATGGAGCTCGTCAAACGGATGGACATCGCGATCGAAGTGAATCCGATTTCGAATCAAGTTCTGAAACTTGTCGATGATCTTCGAAATCATGCCGCCAGGTCTCTGTTCGCAGAAGGATACGCCGTAGTCGTATCGAACGACGATCCTAGTTTTTGGGGTGCGAGAGCTTTGAGCTACGATTTTTACGAAGCGTTTATGGCGCTCATGTCCAGCCACGCCGATCTCAAGAGCCTTAAACAGCTGGCTTTGAACTCTTTTATATACAGCAGCTTGGGTGATGACGAGAAACAGAAGGCTATAGATCGCTGGCAAGGAAAATGGCAAAAGTACGTGGAGGATTTAGCCGTAGGCAGAAAATGAGAAATTGAAAGCGCACAGAAAGAGCTATGTATTACGATTCTTGTAAATACATAATAAAAAAGTTATTTGTCATGTTAATTAATCCTATGCGTTCTGTACAATTGAAAAAATGAAAATTAATACTCTGCAACTAATGGCACGGTTCATTTTCTCGTGTCCTTAAACATTAAATCGATCCGACAGATCGCGTATTACGTACGCGTTCAGCTGCTTAGTTTGATACGATTAATCAACGATTAATAGTAATGACTGGTAGTATAGTACTCGCAAACGCTCGTGATCAGGACGGTCGTTCTGGGACACCTAGTATTTCGAGGGTAAAGTAGTGTGCTTTGACATAGGAATTCGCACTGTTCGCAGCGGCAGTCGCCACCGTCGCTACTGGTTACCAGGGTCACGGCTAGGGTTCGCACGTGTTTGCGCTCTCCCGGCGCTCTAGTAGGTTGCAGTAGGTTGGTTTAGGTATTCAGTCTCGGGGTTAATATCAGTTAATAACTCTGATCAACTCTGATAACTCTCATGTGGCAAAATAAATAATTGAAACTGTAATAATATTTATTACTGTTAGACAAGTAAAATACTTGGAGACTAGACGTGACTTTTAATAGAATGCTTCACATGAATGAAAATTCTCCGGTGAAGAAGGAGTACCCTTTGAAGAGGCATGCTTTCGAAGAATTGGGAAATACACCAAAAAAAATGTTAAAGACTGATCCAAATAGTAAGACGTCAAAAGTTAGAGTAGCTTTATTTCAAGATAAAGATTATGGATCAAAATTAAAGAGCATAGCACTAAGTACGAAAACGTTCTATAATAAATCGGAAAGAAAAGAAGAAGATTATAAAATTAATATCAGACACAGACTAAAAAGGAGATCAAAAAGTTGTTTTCCACATTTTAAAAGGCACACAGTAGGAGGAATCAATGCTGGTGTATCACACGGCATTAAGAAGCCCAAATTAAAGAGCCCTAAACTAAATTTAGATATTACAAATGATGAGACCAATATACGACAATCTATGTCAGAAATGGATGAAACTGAAAATGTTGAACCTACAGACAGGAGTTCATCACCAGAAATTGATCCTAATAAACGATTTTTCAAAATTAAAAGGAATTCTCAGGCTCTGGTAACGATAAATAAAAATGTTAAATTAAAAGTTGCACCTGATGGTAAAATAGTGTTGAATCAAAAAGTTGCAAGGCATAAAAAATCAAAGCCTGCAAATATCTCTTTTGACGCAAGTGACTTAACAGTGGATGAACCAGAGTTAGAATCTACGATTGAGAAAACTGAAGTGGACAATATATTAAAATTATTAGAGAATGATTGGGCTGATGACGAATATGATACCATGGACCTACTGGATAAAGGACGGCATATTACACCTTTGAAGCCAATAGCCGTGTTCAATGATGTTACTGTGTCACCAGCAAGTGAACTTAGCAATATGACTTCAAATCTGGATATCAAAGATATTAGTGCACCAATAACTTGTGAAGATAAACCTTTCGACAGTAACGAAACAGATTTTGAAAACATCTCAGAGCCAAAGTATTTTCCATTATTTAAGAAAGGATATTCTGCTAATAAATTAGAGTAAGTGTTTCCCAGCCTTTTTTTAAATGCTAATAACGAGAGAATTAAAAAGTTTTCTATTAATATATTTTTCAGTAACATTGATAAAAAAGTGCATCACACTGGCAAAGAAAATCAAAATTGGCAATTATCTGTAAAACTAAATGGTGGTAATAATCAATACCAATTAGATGCAGGTCAAAAGAATTTTGGAGCAACTCAGTGTACAGAGTGTGGTGTTATATACCAAATAGGAGATCCTGAAGATGAAAATGCACATTTAAATTATCACAATAATAAGAAAAGTTTGAAATTTTCAGTACGTTTACATTATATGCATATACAATAACAATGATACATCGAGCATTTTATATTATTGAAAATAATTTTAAGGGTTGGAAAGTCGAACGAATAATCATGGAAGATCCATTTACAATGAGTCGAGTAATTTTAATAGAGCCGAATGATTCAAAGTTGTGTTGGAAAAAGGTAGAAGAAATTTTAGCATACGTAGATAGAGATTTAGGACTAACAGACACGAAACTTTCTGATTACAATCAAAAAAGGGTAAGGGGAATAATATGAAAAGTAATTATTTATGTATTTTATAAATGGCATACTTGTTCGATTACATTAAGTTTCTTTAGGTATACTTATACATAAGAGATAAGGCCGTTATTGGAGTGTTGGTCGCGGAACACATAACAACAGCACATCATATGATTCCTGAACTACTAGAGCTAAATTGCTGTACTGCAGAAGATAGTCCAGCCAAATGTGGAGTAAATGTTATTTGGACCGAAATAAATCATCGCAGACAGGGCATAGCTACCAAATTGATGAATATACTAAGGTGAATATTTATGTATTACATTACGTGTTATCTGTAATTCAATATGAACGAGTTTTCAAAATATTTCAGAACCAACTTCTACTTTGGATATGTAATGACCATGGATGATATAGCCTTTTCAATTCCAACTCCGAGCGGAAAAATATTTGCCGAGAAGTACACGAAAACACAAAATTTTAAAGTGTATGATTAAAACTTGCCGTTCATTGTTGTTCAACATATCATTTAAGCATATTCAATGAAATTCTATCAAAGTTGATAGTAATCCTACGGTTTATTGCTTAAGCAATGTATAAATAATCATTACTGACTTACTTGGTCAATATTTTACTTATTTATTCTTGTAATCCGAAACTAAATACATATGTATTATTAGTTTTATACTAGCAACATTGTTATACTTTACTAATAATAGCATCACACTGTCTCCGTTAGTTAAATACTGAACCTTTATTAAATATTTTTATCGTATTAACAGAGGGAATATAAGTTTTATGTAGTTATGTATTTCTATGCGTTAAATTCGCAACAGAAAAATTGTACAATCTTTCTCTAAGGAAATTATAAAATTAAAATAAACTCAGGAATGTATCTTACATAATCTTGTTTTGATTCATTCTGTAAGTGTTCTTTAAATCGTCTTTAAACGTCTGTAAATCTAGTAATACTGTTTATATTGTTTTGCAAACGTATTTTAAAAATAAAATGCAAAAATGGAAAATGTGTAATACTCATGACATCCAGTATGTATAATTTACTGTTCATTATCAACTACGAGTATCAAACATCTTGTATTCTTAAAAATAATATATGCGTAACAAAAATCAGGAACTATAAGTTTGTTATAAACGCTTTATATGTACGTTCAATAACGCTGGAGAGGTAAAAACTACCATCTATTATTACTTCTCCTGCCACCTCCATAACCACCGCCTCTGCTATCCATTCGTTCAAATTGTTTTTCGGCCGCCCGTTTCTTCTTCCACGCCTCATACCTTTCAGCCATTTGGTTTAATTCTTCAGGTACTTCCTGTAAACAGAAATATTTATGTATTTTAACCATTAATTTGAATCTTGATGCAAATGTACAAATATTTCATGACATACTTGGTTAGCCTCTTCCAAAATATTGATTAATTCTTGTGCATTCGACCAGTCTTTTCTTGTCATGAATGATATACTTTCTCCAGTGCGCCCGGCACGACCGGTACGACCCACTCTGTGAACATACTCCTCTATGTCCCGTGGAAAATCATAATTCAAGACATGTCTGGAAAAAATTATTTTTTTTTATTAAACATTGGCGTACGAAGATTGTAGTTCTAAGTATAACAATAAAACATACGTAACGTCTTCTATATCAATTCCCCGACTAGCAACATCGGTTGCTAAAAGAATTTGCACTTCTCCAGTTTTCAAATCTTCTAAAGCTTGTTCTCTATCGCTCTGTTCTCTTCCTCCGTGTATACTTTGACATTTAACACCTTCTAATGCTAAATCACTCGCTACATCGTCGACCTTACATTTTTTTCCGAAAAATACCATCACTTTATCGGTAGGAGCCATATTATGGAAAAATTGATACATCTGTGGAGAACACTAACTATTATCCATGTCATTTTGAAACACAGTACAGTCTAAAAGATTTTACGTAATATTAACCATATTAGTCTTTTCTTCTTCGTCGATTATAAATATTTTTTGCATAACTGTGTGCACAGTCGCCAAGTCGAGAGATCCAACAAAGATTTGGATCGGATTTTTCATGTAAGATTGAGCTAAACGCCTAACTCCTTGAGGCCATGTAGCACTAAAATTTCAACGTATATAATTTCATTTCTATTGCAAACCAAATTTTTTTCTCAATTTAAAGCTTAAAAAGAAGAGACGATTGCAAAACCTCGTCATAACTGTTTGTCGATCCGGCCTTATATCAAGTAATGTCTTTCTAATCTGTGGCTCAAAACCCATGTCAAGCATACGGTCAGCTTCATCCAACACGAGATATGTAATTGTGGAGATATTTAAAATTTTTGCTTCTACTAGATCATTCAATCTACCAGGCGTTGCAATAACGATTTCCACGCCTTTCGTTACCACATTTATCTGTTCCTTTCTATTTCCGCCTCCGTATATGCATACCCTTTATCAATGTATTATTTTTAGAAATATACTATAAAAAATATAATATACATATACTATATTGACACCACTACTTACGCCTTTATACCGTGGTAAGAATACTTATTGACTTCTCGTTCAATTTGTAAAGCCAACTCTCTCGTTGGTGCCATAACAAGAACATTCGGACCATTCCTTTCTGATCTCGGTATTTCTTGACCCTCAATGTGAATTAAAGCAGGCAACAAAAATGCCAATGTTTTACCTATACGTATTAACAGAATGAAGTATCTTCTTAACAGATTAAATAATGTTATAATAATTTTCGAACATACCTGTTCCAGTCTGTGCAATTCCAATAAGGTCTTTACCACTGAGGAGAATAGGCCAAGCCTGACATTGTATTGGACTTGGCTTAGCAAAACCCTGTTTTCTGATTTCTTCAAGTATCTCCGGATAACTCTGCACAATTTATATTAATCAATGCAACGTCATTTTACAACTGCTATATGTATTATCGCTTGCGTTTACCTCAAATGCTTGTTCAAATGTTTCAATTGGATTAGGTATCCACAATTGCTCCGAGACATCATTCTTCTCATCAAACATATATTTTACTTCTATACTGTTATTTGTCTTCCTAATATGAGCAACCTGTTCTTTTGTCATATTGGCCACTGACGGATGTTCTTTGTAAAAGTTTTTAACAATAGGAGTACATTTCGACCATTTCTCCTTTTGAAACTCATCCTAATTAATTGAAAACATATAATCGTACCATGCTGCTTGTCTTACGGAAGCTCATGAAAACTTACACATTTTTTGCTAGCTGTAGACCAATCAAAATTGGTAAAATCAATCTGTGGTTTATCACACTCCCTCTGTTCATTTTCTAATCTTTGGCTGTGATATGGAGGAGAATCATTTAATGATTCTTCTATTAAATTTTTGGCATGTTCCTGTCCTTCTGCAGATCCAATTATGATCACACCAGTAGTATCGTTTCCAGTTGATCTCTCAATCTGTAATTAAGAATTATTCATTATTGCATATATGATGTTTTTATATCTATTGTAAGTAATTTGAAAAAATGTAATATCCTATTAATACATACTTGAATCCTTGTGCCTGTTTTGTCTTGTAAGTCTCTAATGTTACTTCCACCTCTACCAATTAATTTTCCTACTTTCTCGGTGTCAATCTGTATCATAAATTTATCAGTAGATTGTTGATCATTATAAGAAGAATTTGTATACTCTCTTTTTCTATAATCATTCCTGTTGTTTCCTCTATCATTACGCCTTGAATACGTCCTTCCATAAGTTTGTTGATAATCCATTCTGTAGCCAACAATCATACACGTAGGAATAATTTAACGACAAACAATATTTATAAGCGTTACGTGTAATTTATTTTTGTGAAAT